GAGTTGACCGCCTGAGAGACGAACACCACGTTCGCCGACCTTGGAGTTGTAGCCGTCGGGGAAGCCAACGATGTCGTCGTGAATGGCAGCAGCGGCGCAGGCATCTTCGATCTCCTTGTCCGTTGCGTCGAGTTTGGCGTAGCGAATATTTTGTCGGATGGTCTGGTTGAAGAGGACAGGGTCTTGCGGCACAAGACCGAGAGCATTCCTGAGACTGGCTTGCGTGACTGAACGCAGATCTTGACCATCGATCATGATTGAGCCGCCGGTCACGTCGTAAAAGCGGAACAGCAATTTCAGCATTGTCGACTTGCCGCCTCCTGTCTCACCAACGAAGGCGATGGTCTGTCCGCCTTCCGCCTTCAGATTCACGCCCTTGATAATGGGCTTACGCTCGTCGTAGTGGAAGTCGACGTCCTTGAACTCGACTTCACCCGCGGAAACCACAATGTCTCTTGCACCGTCTTGATCGGCAACTGTAGGTTTAGTATTGAGTAGCTGCAGAAGGCGCTCAGCATCAATAAGCGAGCTGGAGATGTGGCGATAGCTGTATGAGAGAACGTATAGGGGCGATGTCATTGTGTGCCAGTACATGATCAGAGTGACAAGATTGCCAACTGGCTTGCGGCCAGTGACAATCTGCGACATACCAAAGACGCAAGCGCCGGCGAATCCGAGGGTTGTCAAAACGTCCTGTGCCGCATGGCCACCCATAGATCGGAAGTAGTATGCGTACTGAGCGGAGATGGTGTTCATGATGTTCTCGGCATAGCGCTTGTGTTCAAAAACCAATCGGTTGAAGTAAGCGACCGTCTGCCAGTTGTGGACAGTCTCATTGACCGTAGAGCTTTCAGTACGCTGCTTTTCGACATAGTCTCTTCGCTTCGGCTGAGAGAGCGTCGTGAAGTAGAATCCGATTACGATGTATGCTGCGCCCATGAAAAGGATGATGAAGGCCATGTAAGCGTCGAACAAGTGCGTTACGTAGTACATGGCTACGAAGAGGTCCAACAGAATGGGCGCAATGTCGAAGAGAACCATCTCGATGAGCGAGTTTAGAGATGACGCCTGTTCAACAGCTTTCAGAACCTCCCCGGAGTCTTTCGAGGTGTGGAAGTCCATGGATAGACCGAGAACATGCTCATATGCGAGCAAGGTGATGCGCCGATACGCGGAGTTCGAGATGACTAAGTTTGCGATGCCATCGATTATGCCGAGCCCAGCATAGCTGTTGATGTATGAGAACAAGATCCAGAGGCCAATATCCCTCCACGGCATGACGCCACTCTGGGTCTCATAAGAGTGCTGTAGTTTGTTGGTGATGATACCGATTTGGCGAGGAGTAAGCAAGTTCAGAACACGCTCTGTCAGCATATGAATGAGTCGTAGACCCAGGCATGTCATGACTTTCCAGTCGTCTCTCGGGAATAGGTAAGGCAAGAACACGGCGAAACCCTTGAGATATCCGAACCAGCCACCCTCCTCTTCGAGACGCTTTGCCTGTTGCTCTTTGATGTCCTTGTCGTCATCTTTCGGCGGTGCTTCCTCATCGTCGCTCGACGTTCCAGTGGGTATGGTGCCATATCCAGCGTTGCCGTTGGTTGTTGATGAACCATTCGCTTGCTTTCCTAGCAGAGACTGGCGTTCCTCGTCCGTGCTGACCACCGCCTGCTTGGTGACCAGAATGATGAAGGCGTCAAGAAGTAATATGAGCGAAGCCAACGCCCTGACGCAGTCAATCACGAAAGGCGCATTCTTCTGCCGACCCTTCTCCGGGATGGAAAATGCCGTTATCAGGCATGTCGTAGTCTCGAAAGCGAATTGCAGGACAAATGCGCCAAAGTAAGCGTGCCACCGTAACGCCTTACTCGACCAGAGTATGTATGCGAGGGGGCTCCAAACCAGTATCGATCCTAAGCAGCGGATTGCTGCAGGTTGTGGTGCCTCGTAGTCCCAATCGCCCATTGACCGGCTGAAGTAGTAGAGTACCTCTGTGATGTATGCGACCAGTATTGTGAGCATGGCGATGAGTATGCTCCACCGCCTCTTTGCTGATACTAATCGTGGTTTTTGCAATATGCACAAACTGAACGCGCAAGCTCCCATGTAGTAAAAGCCAACCGTGGGCGCATGCATGTAGTTGAGGAGAGCCATGGCCGGGTAAAGCGGTGTCGCGGGTTCTGGCTGATCCATGGTCGTAGTCGTGATCGTGAGCTCGTTTCTTCGTTGATGTTCCTGCTCTCGTAGCGTCTGTCTTAGACACTTATGGCTGCGCACAGATACACGGTCTGTGCAAGGTCGTGGGAGGCGACTTTATCGTCTCACACGGTTGTTGGAGGCCTGGGAGTAGGTCGCACACCAGGTCTCGAACTGGCAAGGGCAGGCTGCCGAGAGGAAGGTGCTTGGTGGTGTGCGAATCCGGCCGCTGCGAGGAGGCAGAGGCTGCAGCCCCAAGCTTTTGATTTGGTGATGTGGTCTTCAGCCGCACCGCCACAACGCTCTTCTCCGCTTAAGAATACCCGGCGAGCTCAGCCAGGAGGATCGAGTATGTGTATGCTGTCGTGATGGGCAGGGTTGTCTTCGCTTAAGGCCTGGGTTTCGAACAGCCCGCGACGCGTACTTTGCGACAGCCTCCAGAGTTATACGATTGCGCGGCGCAAACTTCCGCGCAGACGACTGTCACGCGCGCTTGATGATTTTGGCGGTCTGTTGATGGACGCGCGATGTTTGGTTGTCGCGCTTTGCGCATTCCGAACTGAAGAAGCTGCGCGCCCTTGTTAGCCTAGTCGGTGTGGCTAGTGCCCGCTGCTAGGTCTACTGCAATCACCATGCAGTCCACTCACCGCCGTCTCCAGCTATCTGCTTGATGCGGCGTACAGCGTACGGCGACACTCCGGTGCCGCCGCTGCTGAAGAAGCGGCAACGATGTATATATAGCGCTGCATTTTCCCAGAGAGTCGCCGGTGAGGCCGCACACCCCCAGATTTCCCTAGAGCCGTCATCAAGCGGCGAGACCCCGCTCTAGGCAGAAGCAAGCACCCAACACAACAGCCATGGCGGCAGAGCGACCGTCGGCGCTCGAGGCGGCAAAAGAGATTCGGGAAAATGGTTCACGGCCCATAGCGGGGTTGGACTTGATGGACGATGCGGCTCCTTGCAGGTGTCACATCTGCAAGATGCGAGTTCCTTCTGCGCCGGATTGGGTAAGCGAGGCTGCACTTCCTCAGGTACCGTGCATGCCTTCTGTAGATCCGCAATGCACGACACGTCGACTTGAATACCATCAACGGCATCCACTCCTAGCGTTTGATCTAGCTTTCTTATCAGACAAGCACACCGCCCAGTCCTCTAGCAGCTTTGCTAGTCATCACGAGAGCCTCACTAGTGACTAGCAGGAGCCTCACGCCGTTGGTCTGGGAGAATGCTGTACCGAGCTTTCGTCGCCACGTCATGGCTACGACACCGCGTTTGATATCAAGACTGACTGTTCTCCACGCTCAGAAGCGTCGCTGATGCTGCTGCGATCCACCGGGCACATCTGCATCCTCGGTTCCGAAGTCTGGTCCAGATGTCAAGCACGACTTTGTCAGTACCAGGGTAGCATCGCAAAGCCATCGATTATGCAATGTGGCACGACATCCAACAGATCTAGATCCACTGCGAGATCGGCCCGCAGGATCCGCACGTTCGCATGGCAAAGATGGGGCCATCCAACGACCACGGCCATCCAACAGCGACCCGGCCCAGGGTCTTTTGGCGACCGTACCACACCCCACCCAACACATGTACAAAGACTCCAAAGAAACTCCAGTATCTCATCGCAGCGACGCTTACTATTCGAAATCTTTCCCCATATGCCTATTGGTTAGGTTGCGGAAGCTGTGAATGGCTCATCACTTCGAGACATCCAAGTGCACCACGAACCACTGCAAAGTCACAAAACTCCACCCACAGATCAAAGACGCGAAATCCAGAGCTCACTACGTACAACCAACAATTTCATCCCCGCTTACGCCTTGCAACGACCACGATTACCCCATCCAGTAACCCGAGCCCCAACTCCCATCCCCACCGTTTGTCACCATCTCCCCACTGCACCTGCCACCGTACCACCAACGCACGCAGCTCCCTTCGATCCCTGGACGTGAATGCTACGCAACAATCCATGACTCCAATACCACTTGTGACAGATGTGACATGTCACACGTTCTATAAAGAACTATTTCCTCTTCACATAATCAACAATGACTGGTCCTTCGTTCGTCCTCTGCTTCTTGTTCGTTTTGCAGCCCGCTTCCGTCGTGTATGTGAGTCGGCTGGCTATTTCTTATTCTTCTCTTCACATAGCGCGTCGGAAGGATTGTATATAGCTTGGTGGTGGTTGCGGTGGTTGTCTTCTTTCTGCTCTTTGCACCTGTACTTGTACATACATTCCACTCTCCACCCGTCTCTATCCGTCTATCCCAAAGCAACCCAAGGCCTCGAATCCAGTCAGTGAATACTCTCTCAAACTCTCGAACGAGCAATATTTACCCCTCGATCCCTCGGATCTCGCCACCCATAACCCTCAGTCACCCCCGTTTGAACCCGCTCGCCCCGGATCCGATATTCCATTCCGGTTCGACTTCTACAACCCTGGCGCCTGGATCTCGCGTCATTATCCCCCGCATTAGTCCGAGCGTAAACCACCAACGTCTATCAGATTGATCAGAAGTGGCGCCTTTTTCAACATCCACTTTCTACCGTCCACACCTATTGCGATCAATACCGTTCTGAATCAATTTCTCTATTTCGGATTTGAATCAGAACACAACAGTCCAAGCGGCAAGTCACCGAGAAAGTCTCAGGCGACTACTGAGACCCTTTTTCAGTCTCAGATCTTTCAAAGTATATATCCCTCACCATCAGCTTTTCTCCCAGCGTCCACACCAGCAGTGCAAAGTACTGCGATCCAATCTTTCGCAGACTCATTCTCCGCAAGGACAAGGCAACTAAACAACATGAGCGACACAGCACCTGACCCACCCCCACCAGAGCAAGCAGAGCAAGGCTCACCACGTGGCACCATGGATCCTCCAGCGACACCAGGTCCAGATCCGGGCCTTCACGCTAAGGTTCCAACTGCAACAACACCCGCACCGGCGCCTTCACCCGCACCGTCCACACCAGGCCGACGCAACCGGCCGCTCCTCCCCAACACCCCACGTTCATCCAGCAGCCCGTTTCCCACACGCGCGCCCCGCACGCCAGGAGCATCATCGGCAATCCAGCCCTGCACTGTCGACGAGACGCTGTTTAGTAGGGTGACTGTCCACACGGCCAAGTGCACAGAGTGCGATCAGCGTAACATGGATACTATGCGCCGCTGCCCTGGCTGTACGTTCCAGGTCTGTCAGCCGTGCTACGAGAAGCGGGTTAAGAATAACAAAGGCCTTCTTCATGGTAATATGGCGACGCCGGGTGCGGCTGGGGTTGGCGCCGGTACTACTCCTGCGGGTAGGACGGTGAGGCGTAGGCCGGTGGCGAGCAGCACGCCCGTTCGTGAGAGCGAAGAGAAGAAGGAGGATGAAGTCAAAGAAGAGGAGGCAGAGGTTGAGTCCGCGCGGAAGGAGACTACTGCGTCTGCACAGAAGTCGTCCGCGAAGAAGCGCTCGATCAGGAAGAAACCAGTTGTTCTCGACAGTGAGGTCGACGAGTTATCTTCCGAAGACGACTTCGAGCCAGACGATCACTCACCTACACCGAGCAAGAAGCGCAAAACTGAACTCACCTTCGCCGAGAGCGCCCTTGCTACCGCTACCCGGACACCGCCTGCCACACGCGCGACTCGACGATCAACCACCGCTCCAACCTATCAAGATCCGCCATCCCCGCACTCGGACCCGGTCGACGGCAGTGTGCGCAGCGGCGGTAGGTCAAACGGCTACCTAGGCGGCGACTACAAAGGCGATCCAGACCTCTATGATGCTGCCATCGGATCCTACGACGAGCCGCTGTTGAGTCGTCAAAACCCTGTCCTGTCGAACCCTGCGTCGAGGATCCCCGAAATCATCAAGCGAGGTGGTCTACCGAGGCCACAGGGTGAGACGTACAAGTACATCCAAAAGCATCTCCGCGAGAAGATGGGATTAGAGCAGACAGGCGAGACGACAGGAGAAGAGACCGTGGCCTCCTTGGCTGAGCAGAGCGTAAGTAACGAATATAGAGCTGTGATCGACGACGATAAAGCTGACACGACGAAGAACGAGGCTGACCAGGCTGCTAACGAATGCACCGTTGGCGCTTTCGTAGAGCAGATGGCAACTAAGTACCTGAACGCCGAGACCATGGACGGAGACGACAACAAGGCCCTCTTCAACGCCATGGAGAGCGCCGCTTTGGTCTGGGGCAAGAAGACGTTCAAGAAGCTGGACCCGGAGAAGCAGCGCATGGTCCAGCCGGGCTTGAAGTTGCGTCTTGACTTCATCGACGAGAAGTTCCGGGAGGAGTTGGCCAAGTTGATGGATGAGCGCGCTGGTAGTATGCTTGCGGAGTTGGGTGTGAGTGACGAGAAGCCTGCGACTGGTCCTGGCTGTCTAGGGTAGGTGATGGCGGTGATGGCTTTGCGTTGGCCCGAGCGATGATTACGTTGGCCTCCTTCTTGCATTGATAGATCTTCAGCGATAGACAGAGTTGTCGGGACTTCCATCAGTCCATTCACATAGGTAGCGAGTCAGCATTGGTTGGCTTCGTCTGGCCAGCTTGGCATTCGCCTAGGATAGCGAAGTACTGTCGTAGGAGCATGTATCTAGACACCAATTGCATCAAATCAGTAATGAAGAAGAACGTGCCTCGTGTAACGGCATTGCCAAGCCAACTCTTGACACGCATGAACGAAAGGAGACGAGAAGACGTTCGATGCAGACATGATTATGCTACTTTAAGACGTACGTAAACGACCTCATCCCGAAGCAGAAAAATAACAGAAGGAAAAGATTATGGGTATCCGTAAAGGCGCTGATGCAATGCAGAATGCGACAAACAATGAAAATATACGTATAACCTCTAGCCTCAGCTAGAGAACCCGTACAGGGTCGCAGGATATCGCCGTCCTCGAAACCCTCGATGTAGGTATCTACCGCTGACCGAACTGAATCGTCAGTTTTCCTTTTGCTGGCTTAATCTGCTCCAGCTCATCCTCGCCCTGGTTGCCCATGGCGTTCTCGAGCCATGTCGTCTCGTCGTCATCGTCGTTGCCGGCGGAGGATGGGCGCTGGCTTCGTATCGACTTGAAGCGCTCGTTGAAGAGGTGTGCGTATTCGTCGTTCTTGGAGGGCTGTTCGGTGACTTCGGGGAGGGCGCTCGGTTGGGAGACGGGGATTAGTTGCCTGTGTGTGATCAGCGCCGTGTCTTGCTGAAGATGGGGAACCCCCAAGGGACCTAGTGGCCCGTAACTCGGAAAGTACGGGCGCCTTCGTGGGAAGGTGCGGTCTTCGCTGGGGGAAGGAACGCTCGAAGATAAGGAAGGTGGCACTCACTCGTTCGTCTCAGCGCAAATACGCTCCAGATTCTCTCGCTGACGTCGAAGCTCCTCTGGGTCTGGCTGGGGCGCGTTATGTGTGCTGCTGGCGGTTCCATAGTTGGGCTGGTACTGGTCTCCGAGTAGGTGCGAGGCATCCGAGTTCTGTAGGGAAGGGTAAGTACTTGAATAGCGCAGTATAATGTCCCTGGGAACTTACATCAGACTCAGAAGTCCTTCGCCCTCCCAGGCACGACGAGCAAATACCCATCGAATGGGCGCGACGGTGGCTGGCGGAAGCGGTGGAGCGATGTACACGCTAGTGTGAACGGAGATCTATAATCTATACGGAAGCGACGAGAAGGTGACGAGCGACTACACGGGGCATGCTGTATAGCCCGTAGAGAAGAAGCTGGCGCAGTTGTCGAAGTTCACGAGCGATGCTTCCTTGAGTTGTGATGATCGGCGCCGGCAATCTCCGGGGGTCTTGGCGGGCAAGGAGCCGCATCGTCACTTGGGCACCCTTCCTCCTTTAACCTTCGCTACCTCGCCTCATTTGATGGCTTGCAGCTTCCATCCCATGTCTATCAGATTGCTTGCAGCTTGACGCTTGCTCTCTTCTCTACGACAAGCACTCAACTCCTTTTCGGCAAACTTTCGTCTCTCTCGCAAAATGCTATGCACCTTCGCTTCATCCTCACGCATGGACACATATACAACATGATGTCATTTATATACACATATTAACTGTGTTGGCTAACCGAGTCGCATCACGAAGATGACCCCTGGTCTAGAGCGCCGCATCGTCCATGAAGCGTTAATCCCATGGAACTTCACCGATGAAGACGACGGCGAACAGCCATGAACTTTTCCGCCTCCCATGTCTTGCAACAAAAGAAAGCCCGCTTCTTTCTACTCCGAATCACTTGAGCATCTGTCTACAAAGAGTTTGCCTTCTTTGGATGATCAGCCCGCCCCGTTTTGCGCATTGGGTACATTCCTCCCCGCTTTGTTCCTTGAGCACAATGCCACCTCATACAAGGAAAAAACTGAAAAGGCCTGGGGACTACATCAAGACAAGAATCTGCAAAGTGGGTGACCGAACGTCAACGTAGGCTCTAGGGTGTTCAGTTTTTTCCTAGGTTGGCGTGATGCGCTGCTCACTGTGAACTGGAGACTAGTGCAGACGGATACCCCCCCACGGCTCCTCCCACATCGCCTCGAGGACCCTGCCAAGCGCTCTACTAATCCCGCCGTCGACGGGTGGTATTCTGCGCCGGAGGATCATCACCGTCGCGCGAGCGCTTTAACCTCGGCCCTGTGGGTGGTTGGGGTCTTGGGTCCCTCGGCGCGTTCGTAGTCCTCGTTGGAGGTTGTCGAGGCTGATCTTGCGGCGCTGTCGAGCGAACGTCTGTAGCAACAGGGCGCCCGATGCGAGGTGGACTGCGGTTATCCGGTGCTGCCTGAGCCCTAGGCGGACGGGCATCTGCGTCCGTGTCGTCTTCGGATGGCTTTGGCTTGTGTAGAGCATCGAGAGTCGCGAGATGATCTCTCATGTATTTGGGCAAAGAGTCGTCCGCAGTTCGCAGCTCTTTCAACGCACCGTGGTCGAAGTCCATCGTTGGTGGAACCTCATTGGCGGCGCTCGACCCAGGAGCTGCCGTGAGGAAATCACTGAGGCAACACAGCCGGTGGAAATCCCAAAGCGTCAGCCGGCCCCAGTAGTAAGGCTTTCGTGGGAAGGTGACTTTCACCAACTCACCCGCGAAGACATGACTTATGTTCTCGAGAAATCTTGCTCCTGGGGTTCGCCGCACCTTCATTTGTTCATGCGGACTACCGTTTCCTCGAGATCCGGACGAATCGTCATCACTGGCCACTCCCAGATACTTTGCATGCTCCGACTTTGGTATCCAATGCGCTCTCTTCAATCCGCGCCCTCCGAAGCCGTGAGCAACCCAGCCAATGCCGTAGTCCCGCTCCACTCGTTTGAAGATGAAAGGCACATCATGCTTCACGTTGATCATACCTTGTGAAGACGGTGTGAAACTCTGTCCAATTTTCGCTTGGTCGTCAGATGAGAAGTCACAGAGTCGAACGGAAACAACGTCGGTAGCGAGATACTCCTTCGTCAAATCCGTGTATGAGCCGCGAGACTGTCCGTACTCAGGGGTCCAGACGTGTTCAACTCCTGTACGATGATCGATGACGGTATAGCCCGTACCGCGAGTTTGGGGAAGAGGAGGATGAGCAAGTGGTTGTGGTGTCTGCGGTCTCGGCGCGCGCTCAGTACCGGGAGAGCGAGATCGTCTCGTGCGCGGGTCTCGCCCCTGACCGCGCTCAGTATTGTAAGGTCGAGGAGGCCTTCTTTCGGTTTGGTCTCGTCGCCGACTAGGGGATCTTCGGTCTCGCCGCCGACTGGGGGATCTTCGGTCTTGCTGCCCGCCACGAGGTCGTTCTCTGGAGTAGTCTCGACCCCGACTTCGACTGCGGGGGCGTGGAGGTGGTGACCGGTCTCGAGGTCGAGGTTGAGGTTGAGGTTGATGACGGGGCTCTCCTTCACCATAGTCGAGAGGCAGGTCGTCTTCCCTGTACCGGTCTCCGTGCTCTTCACGCTCGTCGTAACCGCGATCATGGTTTCGTGCCGGTACTCGATCATACTGTGGACCGTCGTCGGCTTCATGCTGCGGAGAGTCCCGGCTGTGAGGCTCTGAAGGCGGCCTTGGGCGATCACGTTGGCCAGGCATAGTGAGAGTTGATCCCTTTTTTCTGCCAGTAAGGGGTTGAGATCGTTGTGCGGGTAGAGTGGTATTGCCTGTGATTTCATGGCTGCAGCCACTGAAGTAGGGGCAGGCATTGCGCCCGCGTTGACCTCAGTGAATATCGAAGGCAATTGCGCCTGCTCTTTCGTAGGTCCGGGTACGTGCTCACGGACGTTGTGTATCACGAATCTAGTCTAGTTTCGTATTGCTGCTGACAAGAATGGGCCTCGGCGAAGATCAACGGATGTGAATGGCCTTACCAGAGTGAAAGAAAAGCGAATCAACCAAAACGACAATGAAAGAAAATTGCTATCTTTGTTGTAGGCCTACTACGTTATCCCAATCCGGATATACGTGGTAGAGTGATAAACTCCTTTGTTCGAACCCATAGAACCTATAGAACCTATATCTTGCGCAAGGATGCCATCATTCATTCTACAGCCGCCCGACATGGACCATCATTACCTATTTTATCCGGATTACGATCCTAATCCTCACTCCAATGAATTAAAGACAATGAACCGTCAGTGGACGAGGTACGACAGAGACAGACTTAGATGTACCACTGATCCGGCATGTTTCCTTGCTATAAGGGACGGAGAACACGCGTTTGATGCGTTGGTGCTATCCGAACCACTGGCGGAGAAAATACAAAATGCCTTATGTATCGCCCACTCGTACTGGACCACGCCGGAAAAGTACGCTGAGGGAGTGAAGGTCCGTTTTGAGAACGAAGCAAAGACCGAGGCCTGGAAAGAGGAGCTGGAGTATTTAATCAAGATTACGAAAAAGAAGGTGAGAAAAACAGGTCGAGCAACTGACGAAGAAAGAAACAGACTACAAGATCTTCTTGAAGAGCAGAAAAAGTGTCAGCAAACTCTTAAATTTCACCAAAGTCAGCGCCAAAGGCACGAAGACAAGATAAAGTTGGGAAAGGCGAGATGGACAAACGCTTGGTTCGAAGTACAGCAGGAACTTGATCGCCTGTGGACGCATGACGGCCAGATCAAGAAATATCGACCTGAACAACCATCTGAGCGGCGTACGGCTGGGCAGGGACGCCGAGAGCCGCGCGCTCGCTCAAGATCGCGAGACAGAAGACACCGGAGCTCACGCCGCGCAAATAGGCGGGAGGATAGATCACGAAGTCCCAATCATGCCGAACGTTCTCGTACTGAGTATCGGTCCAGGTCTCACTCTCGATCGCGAAGACAAGACAACAGGTCCAGGCATCGTAGAAGAGAGCCTCATACCCATGACAATGGAAGGCAGGAACGCTCGAATGGGCGAAGTCGTGGACAACCTCGCTATCGATCTCAGTCCCGCTCACGGCCGCAAAGGCATGACCGAGCTTCCGAACATTCACACGATGGTCTTGCGAGTCCGCGTTCGCCGGTTTCATCTCATTCACATGCTCAAAGTGACGCTGAACTGTGGCGCATGGAGGAATCCAATTGCGATACATGCGACATCACCCCAGCCCGTCTAGAGATCACAGCGAAACCGACTCTTGACTGGAAGAGACCGGGCGACTATCGAGACAAAAATAGCCAAATCTCCCAAGGCGACGTTATGCCATCGGCAGTTATGGCAGATGATGTCGAGCAATCATCTAGCTATGTAAGCATCGACGACAGCGTCGAAGCAATGGCAGGGCAAGAGATAACACGCTCCGCACCAAGCTCGCGGAAGGCTCAAGACTTCAAAGATGGCCTACGACAATTAGCGCTGGAGTACAACAAGAGAGACATGCCATCTCCAAAGCCGTCCGAACCATCCGAAGACTTGCCTTATCGCCCCAGTAGCAATAAGCGGAAGCGGGAAGATCGTGAACTGAGTGAACCGAGTGAAGGAAAATCTCGGAGAGTAGTCGAGTCTCGAAATAGTGTGCGCGAAACCCCGTTACGTAAAGACTCAGCTATCGAGTGGCTCCAGGAAGAAACGCGTGAGCAGGCAGTCGTGGAAGGGACTCCAGAGGCGATGAGAATGTCGATTCGCGACTTCTTTAAGCCGTATCAAAGTCGTGGCGAGAGTCTGTGTTAAGCCTAGTTATAGATAGATGATTGTACTTTTGTAGTCTGACACCCAAATGAGCTTTTCCTGTTTTCATCCGTGTTGAAACTCGACCCGGCAGGCGTGATCATCACACGTGAGAGGTGCGACTGTGAGCTCATTTCCGGCTTTCGTTGAAATCTGCGCCTTATCTGCGCGGAACGAATGCTCTAATCGCTTTCAGTATCTGGTCGGTATTGGCGGAGTTGTGGCGCGCTGAAGTTCGGACGATTTTGTTGTTGTGATGTTCGGGTGGCTCGAACCGCGCGCCGGCTCAACTTGCGGCCCGGCATGATGATTGCCTTGGCGTCCACGAGTCGCTTCTCAACCTTGGAAGGGTCTGATCTTTACGCCACCATAGAGTAGCTAGACATCACTCACATTCCAATGCAAGCGTGTGAGCGAAAACATGAGCGTCGCCAGGATGTTCGCTCGAACTCGCACCATATCGGTTCAGAAAGGGCTCGTAAACAAATCGTCCATGACGGCAATCGCGTCTACACGTTCACTTTCATCTACATACGCACAGCCTCAGCGTGGTCCACCGATGGATTGGAATACACATAGTTGCGACATTGATGCCGAGCCTTTGCATCGTTACAAAAGAGGTGGTTATCACCCCGTTCACCTGGGCGATCGTTTGAGCAATGGCAGATACAAAGTCCTGCACAAATTAGGCTGGGGTGGATACTCGACTGTCTGGGCTGCGCGCGATACCAGGTCCCGCTTTCTGCGAAACATCGACAACTTGAGCTGAGATGCTGCTAGGGACCAAACGTATGTCGCTTTGAAGATATCGGTATCTGAGACAAACCATAAGAATCGGGAGGCTGCAGTCTTGCGTACAATAGCGGCAGCGCAATCGCATCAGCCTGGCCACCAGCATCTCATGACAATGACAGATTCTTTCCAGATTAGTGGTCCAAATGGAAACCATGAGTGCTTGGTGCTAGAGTTGCTAGGACCGAGTGTGGCCGATTACCTCGACGCGCGTTCCATGGAAAGGCTTCCTGGGAAGCTTGCGAAAACCATTGCGAAACAAGCTTTGCTTGGTTTGTGCTACCTTCACGAGCGAGGAATTGCGCATGCAGGTACGGTATAATGTCAATGTCCATATCAGCACTGCTAATCGTTCTTAGATCTGCACACCCGCAACCTAGCGTTCACGATCCCTTCGCTCCAAGCCTTGCGAGAAGAAGATTTCCTCCAAAAGCTGGGACGGCCCGAAACAGGCACTGTGCAAAGAAGGGATGGTCAGCCAATAGGACCTAATATGCCCCGATATCTCGTCAGACCTACCTCCTACCCTATAGACATCAAGTCATCCTTCAGCTCGATCAAGATCATTGATTTTGGTCAATCTTTTTTACACGAGGAGTGTCCTGGCGCCCTGCGTACTCCACTTGCCGTGCGCGCCCCGGAGATTATCTTCAAAGACAAGGTGGATTATCGTGTAGATCTCTGGAGTATGGGGTGCTTGGTGAGTCCGACTTCTGCCTGGCAAGCCCTAGCGCCCCGATGGATAGCTGACAAAGTATCAAGCTTTTTGAGCTCGTTGTCGGACAGCCGCCGTTTGACAGCTTCATGATAACGCCTGCAGGCCTTGTCCAGCAAATGCTCGAGGCAGTCAGCGACGATTTGCCGGATCGTTGGAAGATGGATTGGCATGCCATGGAAAAGACATTGGATGAGAGCGACCCCACTAGCTCACTTCAAGAGTGGTTAGAGGAAATGTACTTTGATGGGGAGAGGCACGAGGATATGAGCCGAGGAGACATTTTGAGAGTCGGCGCACTCATCGGAAGGATGCTACGAATGGAGCCTTCCGCGAGGGCATCAGCGAAGGATGTTGTTCAGGATGCTTGGTTCCAGGGAAAATGATATGTCTCAGGCATTGATCTGGTAGCACGTCACTGTTGCGACCTGACTCAACCCGTTCACACTATCGTATGTAGTCGCAGATAATTGATATAATCATTCTGATGCGCATCTAAGCTCGAGGGTAGAGTCAGGGGAAGGGAAGATTATGAGTGATGTCACGACACGTGCTTAGCGTCTTCGACCGCCTCATTCTTGGGTTAGCTTCGGGCGATCATCTCGGAGCTGTCGCACGTTCGACCCTCGACTTGCCTTTTCCTCTCATTATATCGAAACGTCTATCGCATAGTCCATTACTTTTTGGATGGTTATCAATTCTTCTGCGCCTTGGTTGTCGTCGCAAGCGACATGCATGGATACAAGCACACGAGAATATGTGTTAATCAGGCCGAGGACTTTGGTGCCCCGAGTCTACGTCACTTAACCCGTGTTATAGGCTTCACGGATTGATGAGGACTAGAACTCGAGATGATGTGACAAAACTCACGATTTGGTTGCGACCAACCTCGAAAGCTGTCGACCGATGTTGCGGCCGCAGCAACTAGGCTTGTTGGACCATCGTCAACGCAGTTATCATACGAACAGCGAGCATTGACTGAGGCTATCACGTTGCGATAGCCCTGTTAAAGCTCGCATATACTGCACTTTGAACAACGAGGTCACTTGACGTAGGGGTCTCGCAGTCAGAAAATTACACAAAGAACGACGCGAATATCGTCTCGTCCCTCGGTCGTCAAGGAACGTCGATAACAAAAGCTTGAACAAAGCACATCGCGCCATCAAGAATCCTACACTTCATTGTTTTACATCATATACAATGAACAAGGCCTCGCTTTATATATCGGCGGTAACAAGTCCATTTCCTCAATTGAAGCTCAGCGTAAGGTATGTCGAGAATACCTCTTGAGATGAGATACCGACATCGACCCATATACGCGCTTCGGATTCGGATGCCAGGGTAACAAAGAGGCTTCTTCGTACGAAAGGCCTCTTGTACTCTCAACCATAGTTGAGTAAATCCCCGTTCTGGTACTCGCCACCCTGCTCATGCCTGCCACGGCCACCATCGTCCTCGTAGTGTTCACGCTCGCGACGACGGTCGTGGTCGTGATCGTACTCGCGCGGCTCAGGATGCTGGTACTCGCCACCCTGTTCAGCTCTGTCATGGCCACGATCGTCCCCGTAGTTCTCACGCTCGGGGTTGCGGTTGTCGTCGTGATCGCGCGACGCATGATTATGGATAACGTGAGGCTGATATCTTCCATCTTGCATCACGTTGTTCACTGGCATGAAGACAGGACGGTTGATATTGTCGCCGAGACGCGTGTCGGCAGGGCGATCGTGGCCTTCTTGCTGATGATTGGGTTGATCAGGTTGCGCTGATCTACCAGGGTAACCTCGAGCATAGTCTCCGTTTCGGTCAGCTTGACGTTCACGAGGTAGTGGACTTCGCGACCGACTACGTTGCCTTCCAGGACCACGTGCGGGACGATCGCGAGGCCTACCGCCACCTGTGCCACGAGGACCAGTAGGGATCTGGGGAGATGACGGTGCATCTTGGAAGGCAAACACTTCTCCTCCCGGTGCTGGGACGTACGGGGGAGGTGCTGGCATTCGGTACGCTGCAGGGAACAGCTTTGGCTTGATAGAGCCGGTTGGTTGCTGCCGCGGATAGTGGTTATTCTCCAAACCTCGCCGTACTGCACCCTCGTCGACTCCAGATGGGGTTGGAGGCATGTACTTAAGCTCGGCAAGCCCAACAAAAGCGGCATTGCGAACCCACTTAACCATACCAAGACTGTCGTCTGTGAGATATCCTGCGAATATGAAACCCTGAGTGGGTATGACTTCGTTGGCAACAAGTACATTGAAGTTGCAATGTGTCTTCAACTCCTGGACTGACCAGCCTTCATCTTCCTTTGGATGCATGAGGATATTGTCATGGGGGCTATGTTTCCTTGAAACATCTTCGGGCCAACCTCGACGGTCAAATGGAAGTAGTCGCATGAATTGCCAACGGTTCCCAGGGTGTATCTTGTCCAGATCATGGCCTTGAGAAGTCCGGCCCCAAGTAACTAGGACTACGTTGGGGAAGACTTTCTGGACTAAGCAAATCCTCCATCCTGAGAGAGCTTTGCCATGCGCAGTCAAACCACATTTGTCCCCCAAGACCTGTTTTGGGTCCACCGCGTACTCGGAAGTACGAAACCAAAAGAGCATGCCTTCCCAAAACACCTCGTCGAGACGTTGCCGGATGGGTTGTGGTACATGAGTGGATTGCTTAGACATGATCATCGTTGTCAACCCATCATATTGCGGGAACAAGAGCCCGGCAAGGTCAGGCATTTCGAGACCAAGATTTCCGCGCTTTATGCAACCGCCATTGGAAGCCCACCAAGAAGCGAAGTCTTGAATGAGAGCCAGCATCTGCCTCTGACCAAGTGGTGTACTGAAGTCAACGATGAGGTTTGGCCTTTGTTGTGCGCTTCCATACGCTGCTAGGAACTGCATGACTTTGCTTGTCTTGAATGTGTGCTCGGTATCCGCTCGTGGAATGGTAATAGGTGCATCGGTGGAGCCTAGGGGTGGCTCTCGCACGACGACATCTTGGTATGATTGACCATCACGACTACTACCACTAGGGCTGAGCTCGACTGGAGAGGGGTGTTCAGACGGTGGGCGAACGGTAGTCGCATGTACGTCTCCTCGGTTATTGGCAATCGGTCCTCGCGCTTCGTGAAGCCGTGCGGTCTGGTCTTGGGGAATGGCGTCCAAGCTACGCTCTTCCTGACGAGATAGTGGAGGAGCTGTGTTGGTACCCGGACGAGACTGCAGCTCGGGTGGCGAAGGGCTGGTTGTTTGCCTACCATGAGGGCGTGTAGGTTGCTCTTGGAAACTAGCAGCAGGTTCGCGCTCTTCCCCGGGGAACTCCGAAGGTGTATGATACCCGTCTTGGCTATCAACACTCGCTTCGCGTGCTTCCCGTTGTGGTTTTGGAGAAGGGGCGTGAGTCGGCTGCGGTGCGCGCTCGATCTCTTGTTCAGGGTGCGAGGGAGGGCTGGCCGGGCTCAGTGTCGAGCTTTCCGAATCGGCGACGACCACCTCCTCGAGTTCATCGAAGGTCTGACCAGAGTTCGCTACATAGCCTCTAGGGCGTGTTACTCGTGATGCTTGCGGACTGTCTTTGTCTGTCTTGATTAGGATAGTTCTGGAAGTTGTAGAGGGGAAAGGCTTACCTTCATGACCACGACGACCCGACATGTTTGGCGGATGCGCAAGTGTTAAAGGGTATTGGTAGGTGTAATGATCGAAACAGTTGTGATATTTCGGTTGAGGGTTCGGTTGAGAATTAGTTTGTGTAGAAAGGTCTATCTGGGAAGGATCAGTGAAATGCGCACTTGATGTAGTCGATTTCAGCGCAGTGATTCGCAACAGTAGCGCGAGCTCTGCCCCCTCCGGGTGGATCAATTCATCGTAATCAGAAAGTTCCTGACGTAGTGCACTGCTGCATTGGGGCGATCCGTGCAACGAGTGAGTGAATGTAGCGTGATCATCTAGCAGTTGTGTCTGCCACTGCCACTGCCCCTTGGATGGAACCAACCTAGTGGGCATCCTTAATTGATACAGAACTGGCTGCTTTCGAAAACTTGGTGTATATCTAGATCCCACTTCCGAGTTCTGGGATGTACGTGGACGATGGTGTCTTGCAATAGCCAATCGACTCGCGCAGTCGTACACTGTGAAGTCTTCCATAATGAATATATTGAAAGTGGCGTGGCTGATAGTACTAAGCAAACCTTTGTTGTCAACTTACAAAGCAGCGTTGCGGTCAAAGAAATCTGCTAGCTTTGTCATGATGCTTAAAAGCAGGGAAGCTTCGCGCATCTTGTCGCAACGAATCCTATCTTCCAAGACAAGAGCCATGTACGACGATGCAGAATTGGATACGACTTTCTCCGAAAGAGCTTGTCAGATATGGGTGCATCCAACGGCACACAGCTCGGGATCGAGTACCTTGCGGCCACGGCTCAAGAGAGTACGAGATGGTAGACGCGAGGCTTTGGCATTGGTTCTAACAGAAGAGCTTGAGAAGAAGATTCAGACCGCTCTTGCATTAGGTCGTGGTCACATTCATGCGGTACAGGACGTCAAAAGATGGAAGCACGAAACGCGCTTGAAGCAAGCCGATAACAAAGGTTCTTTGGAGTCGTTCACTCATCGCTTTAACGCCAAGTGCGCAGAAATACAGCCAAACAAAGAGCCGACCGAGTTCCAAAAGAAGACTTTGAAGATGTTAGCCCAAAGTGTCGAGCGAACGAAAGCCAACCAAGATATCATGGATGAAACGATAGCGAACTACGATAGGGATCTTGCGCGCGGTTTGAACAGGTGGCGGAAGGCTTGGGCCGACATAGACAAGATTCTAGCCAAAGTGTGGACAGATGCAGGGCGGCTAGTACCCGACGACGATTCAGATGCGGACAACGAAAGGCCACCTAGAGCGACTGAGTCAAAGAACGAAGCCGGAAGAAACGGAGGCCGGGCGAATATACCTGGCGACAACTTGCCGTTAGCTGCACCGGTGGTAGAGCCCGCTCGACAAAGGCAGGCGGGAAGACGAAGAAGCGATATCTCGGAATGGCAGAACAGTGTCGAAGCCCAAAGCCCCACGAACCTCGACAAGGGGAAAGGTGCAAGTACACATGGCAGGCAGACTATTAGACGCACCAATAACGCTGGAGACCGTCCGACATCTCCGAGCTCGTCCCAATACTCTGGTGAGCATCCGCGAAGAATGTATCGGGCATATCCGTCGCGCCCGCCGCCGCCGCCGCCGCCGCCTCCCCCACCACCACGCCATGGCAACGATGTCTCCATGCCCCGCCATGCGCGACAACAAGCGCATGATCATGACGCGCATCGCGAACGACGGAACCGAAGTCGATCAAGCAGTCCAGGACGAGAACGAGGTACATCTAGAGACACACCAGAATATCGGGAACGTAGTCACCGCGAAAGTCAGCAGCATAGGACTCACGATGAAAGCGCCCGGAGGATAAGAAGTCGAAACCCTCCAGGGGACAATGACAGGGGCTGTGGTAGACAGGGTGCTTTGTGAGAAGTTTGTTGCTGGGCATCTTGTGAAACATCGTGTAGTAGGGCAGTGTCGTTACTTGGCCAATTCCATGAAAGATTAATCATACTGTGATTTAAAGCTAATTCTGTTGATGCGATGAGACCTACAAACATGAGATCATGACTTATTAGGCGGCAGCGCGCCCAGACAACACTGGCGGGACACTATATAGGAAAGAAATCCGAAGACTAGCTAATCCACGACGCACGGTGAATCAATTCGTCACTGCGTTACGAAGTAACCATATACTTCACCTTCTCCGGACGCCAAGCCCGAGACCATTGTCTAAGCGGTTCGTGCCCGCAGGTTGGCGGAGGGCCTGTTTTCTCGTGAACTTTACTCGTGGGAGAAAGCCTTCATAAGCTGGAATATTCGTTTATTTAAACAAATTCATACTTCACCTTTAAAGCCCACTCCGTAGCTACGAGCAGAGCTAATCAGCCCCATCGGTACGTTTCCTCTCTGGACTGGATGACGGGCTCGATGCCGGCTGGTTGAGATTGAGGGACTGGTTCTGCTCTGTCACATTGAGGATGGCATTGGTCATTACTCCATCGTGCTGATGTAAAGTTTGTGCCATGGCAGGTTGGTTGGCAATCGAAGCGATCTTGGGCATTGTGTTAGCATGAGAAGGAGCTTTCCGTTGGCCGGTGGCTGGAGTACCGGCCTTCTCGCCCCCAAATCTTCGACTTGCCCTCACCGCATTCGCAGTATGCGCTAGTGTTTGTTGGTGTGGATGCGATACCGGGCTGAAAAGAGTGTGAGGCATGACGTTGAATGGACTGACCTTGTTGACGGATCGGCTTCGAGGGTGATCAACCGAAGACCGGGCTTGTTCCTCATTGGAACTTGTCGTTGAGTACGCAGAGCTGAACGCGCGTGACTTTTGGAGAAGATTTGCGGAATCTCTCACGGGATCTTTCGCGGTAGTCCCTTTGGAAGGATGGATGCGCAGTTGATGGAACAACCTGTTACCTGTTCGCTCAGCCTTTGGAAGAGGCATGGCACTCCGAGGATAGGGGTCTACCAGTTCAAGGCCGCGCTTCACCGCAGCCTCATCCATCCCTTTTGGGTGTGCGACAAGTTTTCCATCTGGGCTGTTTGCATTGGCTTTCAGTCCAAGGAAAAGGTCGCGACTGTCCTTATCAAGTTTTCCCACAGGTAACATCTCCTCGCTAGGGTAGTGTGGTACTACATCTATTGCAGAGAAGTGTGTGTGTGCACCGATAGCCTTGTCATCGTAATCCGGGTCGGAAATATATGTCAGTGACGCGTGAAGTGAATCGTTATGCTTAGCTCGCATGCTTCGTGGCAGTCTTCCGTTTTTATAACTGTGAAGATGTAAGTACATCCAGATGTCGTCTTTGTCTAGACGCGACAGCCCCTTTCCGCCACTAAGTCGGCAGACCGTCGTCCAAATACATCGTGGAGTCACTTTTGTGACAATGTGCAGACGCCAGGCAGCACAAACTAATCCTTGTGGGCTTGGGGCGGCCTTTATACCCGGCTTCAGGTTTTGGTCGGCTGCGAACTCTGTCGAGCGATCCCAAAACATATCTCCGATTGCGAAGTGATGGGTATAATCGAGTTCCAACCGCTTCGGAATGCTGCTGGCATAGGGCGACGCGATGATAGTAAATATACCTTCATACTCGAGCGAGGGATCTACTAGAGCTGCAAGCCCAACGATCTCAACACCCAGGACTCCTATGTCGCGGACCTCAGTCACGCAAGGAACAAGCATACCCAGCACGTCTCGTAATTGACTCAGTACGGCCTTACGTTCAAGGTCACTGATTGCCGAAGACGTATTTTCCATGCATGCAACAATCTCATCAGTGACCGCTGCAACGTCCGCCATGATCCGCAAGATATCCGGAGTCTGTCCGCCGGAGTGTGCCAAAGGTGGTGTGAGTAGGCCATCCGATGTTGATGGGCTTTGTAGCGTGTGGTTGGTTTTGACGCGGACTCTTTTCTCGTCTTCGTCAGGAGTGTGTTCGTGACGCCGTTTCGTGGAAGTTAATTGAAGGTCTGGCTGAGTCTTCCCGACGGTCGGCTTTGGCTGGTTGTTGCCAGTGCTATCTTGTGACTCGTGGTAAGTAGCTTCGCTATGCTTAAGCTCTTCAACAACGAATACATCGGTTGTGATCTCGGCATCATCACCCGAATCGTCAGCCTACGTTATGTCAGTCGCTTTAATTGCGTGTGCTGCGAGATGTATGTGCAGTGCACAGATGAAAACAGTCAATCGGGTGTCTAGGACTTTGTACGTACCGAAGACCCATGCCCAGACGTTTGCATGTTAAGGCGGGTGTACGGTATCCACTGTGTTGTCTTTTCGTGATCAGAAGATAGTGTCTCCTTAGTATCCGTATGTCTTGTTAGATATTAGTTGAGAGGTGGTGTTTGGCCAGCGTTGGTTGTGTAGTTAGGCAGAGCGCGAGGTCAATTAAAAGACCCGAGTAGAACTTCTTCTGGAGTAGAGTGGAGCGTGAGCTGGGTGTGGCGCAAGAGCACCCGTGCCCTGTAATGAAACCGAGCGTTCAGCGCACGTGACCGGAGTCAACGGTGTTCGAGGCTGTAGTGAAAGTTGTAACAGCCTTCACATGGTGAAGACTGCGCTGTTCTGACAACCATTGGTAACAGTTAGATGTAGCTCCTCTGAGGTAATTAGCTCCCGTATCAGCGGCTAATTCATGATGGAAATGGTCGCCGAGGCTACATTTGACATTTGCTTGCGCTTTCCAGCGGGAGCTACGCGAGGCACCCTCATTCAATGTCGTATGAAACCAGGATCGAGGCTGGATAGTTCCCATGAAAGCATGCTTTGTCTTGTTCGTAGTTCTTTGTTCGCTAGTCTGAACTTTTATTGCCGTATATAAGAGACCGTTCGTTCCGTTCCGTTCTGTCGTCCACGAACTTCATCTTAATTGACAGGAAAGAGGAACCTCGCCATCATCTCTACGGCAAGAAAGAACCAGTAAAGATGCCTTACCATGCAGGACATCCGCCCACGAAAGAAGAGGCTATCGTCGCCCGTTGGGCGGCACCAACCGCGGCCCGTAACTACACGAGAAAAAGTCCGAAGCTGACAGAGATCAAAGAAGACGATGATAGCACCCTTGCTTTGACACTCTGTCGTGATCTGGCCATGAAGTTTCAACGAGCGCTTTCCTTAGGCCGGCAGCACAGATTGTCTACTCAATTTACTAAAGCGAAGATGAAGGAGCTCAAGACAGAAAGACTTGACAACGCAGGTCTGGTCGAAACACTTGAGTTTGAGCTGCAGCTCAAAAAGAGAGAGCTTGAGCAAGCTCTTGTGCCAAGCGACCGGCAGAGGGAAGAGCTTAGAATCTTGGCCAAAGACTTCCATCGCATGCGCAACAATAAGGACGTGATTGAGAGAAATATCGTCATTCTAGACGAAGGTGATAAGAAGGAGATAGAGAGATGGAGAGATGCGTGGTTTGAAGTGGATAAGCTGCTAGATAACGTATGGATGGAAGCTGGCATATTGAAGCGATATGACAGCACCGGCGAGAATCGACCTGGAAGACCGGCGGCCACTTCTGACAATCGAATCAATGATGAACAGGGCCAGACTCACGGCGATGGGACGAATGGCAGAAGCCGCGGGGAACAAAGGGATCGATCCCGTTTCAGACGCAGAGAATCGACGGAAGCCGCGACACGTCGAAGAGAAAGACGCGCGGACCGGACGGGAGTGATATACTACAGCGATCGGTCGGACGAGCAAGATGACAGTTCCGATCAAGTCGAAGAAAATCGCCAAAGATGCAGCCGCACTGTGGAGAGGAGAAGAGAGCAACGAGTTACTAGGCAAGAGCATGAAGGTGGAAGAAGAAGCAGTCCACGCCTACGCTCGCGAGAAGCTGTAGATCGACGAGGGGAGACCGGGCAAAGAATGAGGGATTCTCCGAGGCTGAGAAGTCGGAGTCGGAGTCGATCACCCTCCTTGGATCAGAATCGAGAGAGACGAGAACGAGGTCGAAGAGATTCTCGTGATGGCCTAGAGAGGGGAGAGTATCGTGACCGCGACGGCGTGGTCCGACGCTACCCCCGGTGAACGCAGGCGTCCCTCAGGCGATCACCGTAGATAGGCCATCCAATCCCTTGCCAGCAGCCACCCGAAAGGAGAACGCAGCCAAAAACTGGGCTCAAGGCACGGACTGGGTGACAGAGATTGGCTTCGTTTATAGACGATAGCAATCAACGCCAGCAGAGCTGTATGCAAGCGGAAGCGATAGGATAGCTCCCAAACACGAGGGTCGCAAGCACATGGTACGTAGCACATGCACCACGGACTACGCAAACTGTCGAGCGCGGCAGAAGCTCATCGCCAAGTATCCACCGAATGCACTTCCAAGGTATGCTACTATCAGGTGTGGTGCGGTACGCAGGTCGAAACCGATCGTTGGAGTTCTTCAGTATCATCTACGAGACTCGACGTTGGTGACGGGATGGTCCAAGTCAATCGCAAAACGACGTGCAGCTTGAGTGGACTATCGGACGGGGATTCGACCATCATGCTGGTAGGAGATAGCGAGAGCTCCTGAGAGATCAGCACAAGTAAAAGGGCACATCCATTCAGAGCTTTACGGAGGGAGAGCAGATAGCAGTAAAAGTAACATGAATTGAAATGAACGAAGAACTTACGTCTCAGTACAAGGCTCTGCCCAGGTGCCTCATCATGACACCGAACTCCAAGAGACTCTCGATGCACGCGAGCCTCTATGCTGGGCGCGCAAGCTTGTGGTTCTTTGTCTCCTTATGGCGATCATCATTCACAGAAGGAAGTCATCGCATCCGATTAAAGCCACGATAAATCAGTTGTGGACGGAGGTGAATAAGTGCAGTGACAGTGCGAGTGGTGAAAGGAACTTTGGAAGCTAGACTCTCGCTTACGCGTGGCTTTCGCGTCATGGCCCGTGCACTGACGTCACCAACCGCTCTTCTCTGCCCGATCTCCATGCACAAGCAAACAACTTAGCATTCACTCACGAGAACATTAGATGACATCTTCTATTGACAACAATGCTACATTACACAAATCCAACCAGCTTTGCCTCTAAAGTTTTGGAAAGCTCATATTAGCTAAGTCCCCTTAATGCAGGGCATGTACGACGAGCGCACTAAGACGAAGTGCTTGAAACACCTTACCTTGCCTAGCTTCTAACAATTTCTTCTGTCTCCTCTTCTCTATATACCGCCGCGCTTCCTTCTCGCTAGAACCCTCTAGGAAGTACTAAATCGCAGCATTAGAAGCGATTGTGATAACTACTAAGGCCACGCGATCTAGAAGGATCTTCGTTGTTGTTCTTGCGGTTAGTCTAGCTTCTAGACTTCTAGTAGTAATAGTTAGAGCTAATGTATATACTACTAGCTATAATGCTATTAATAGTATTATTCTAGAACTAATTAACGTAGTTAGTTTAGCCTCTAGACTTCTAGTAGTAATAGTTAGAGCTAATATATACACTACTAGCTATAATACTATTAATAGTATTATTCTAGAACTAATTAACGCAGTTAGTCTAGCCTCTAGACTTCTAGTAGTAATAGTTAGAGCTAATATATATACTACTAGCTATAATACTATTAATAGTATTGTTTTAGAACTAATTAATATAGTTAGTCTAGCCTCTAGACTTCTAACTATAATAGTTAGAGCTAATATATACACTACTAGTAGTAATGCCTTTAACTGTATTGTTCTAGGACTAATTAACTTTTGCGGTGTAGTTCCCGCAAGGGGCATCAGCCTTGCTTTGGTCAACGTCGTCATATTGGACGGCCCTCTTTCCCTGGGTCGGTCGCAGCTGTGAGCTCCTAGTATCCGAACCACGAGGGCGCTGTGGCCGGTCTTTCTCGTAAGATGCGGTGTTTGAGTAACCACGATCCTGTCGAGATGAATCCCGGTGGTCTCGACCTCGTCGATCAGAGCGGCGGCGATGATCGGAACGCCTACGATCGTTGTCGGACTCGTCGTCATCCGGATGATGTTGAGGAGTTTCAGTTCGACGAGGGGGTGGCCGGCGGTCAGGTCGTGGATACGCTGCGAGGCCCATGACGTTACGGCCATCGTCTATAGCATCCCAGTTGATTGAGTCATAGAGTCCGTGATTCAGTTTGTCGTTTCGCTGCGATGTTGTCACTCGCTTTCCAATCGTCTCCAGCAGAGTGACACTGGCTTCATCGAGATATCCGGCGAAATCCCAGTCTTCCGTAAGTGTGCATCGACTGGACGCGCCTGCAAGCACGTATGACATATCCGAGATGCGAACTGGCCTCGTGGCCTGGCTTGTGTCCACCGTGAGAACAGGGTGAGGGCCATGGTTAACGGGGTCTCGGTCGCGAGCATCAGCTACACGTAGCCACTGCCAGTATGTATCCGGTGGTATGGACGGAGCGCGGAGCCCTCGCTCACCGTGAGTCTCCACACACGTAGTCAGAAACTCGTTGTCGCCTACAATGGCGCGAACGATATGAAACTGCCGTTTCGTGGAGACCTTTCCCAGTGCAGTACCAGCGGCGTCGTTTCCGAGAGGAGTACCTTCGTCATAGGAGAACCCCACTGTTCGCTCCCTAAAGACCATACCGACCTTGACTCGATGTTCAAGAGGCATCTGGGGTGCACGCGGGATGCTCACGGCTGATTTGCTGAACATCATGAATACGCGGTCGTGGGCTGCTGGGTTCAGATGGACAGCAAGGCCCTTGATAACCGCACCAAGGTTAGTATGGATGAAGACCACATTGCGCCGCAGTATCTCGGCGATGTCTTCCGTCATGAGGCCGCTGAATCTGCCAGGAAAAGAGGTGAGGCGATCGGTCATCCAGACCTCATCTGTCTTTGCTCGGCGTGTGAAGTAGGATGCTTCCGCCGCGCCCCCGTGCTTTGTGGTCCTTGGGCGTTTGGCTGGATGCGTATCACTGCCAGTCAAGATGGCGCTCGGGTCACCCTCAACTTCAGTATCGCTGGGATCGTAAGACTCCTCGTCGAAGTCATCAGAGGGGCCAGTAGTCACTTCCGTGTGTTTGCGCTTTTTCGAGACATCGGGCGTGGTTCCAAACGCGGGGATAGCAGGGGCTATATCATCCTTCAATACATTAGCTTTGATCGCAAGTTTAAATATATTGCTTTGACGGAAAAGAGGTCCGTGAGCGAAGCTGGATCGATGCTCAGGGGAGCTTTTGTTGATAGTGGCGAGATGTCATCGTACCTCGTCATAGTTGAGTTGGGGTGTCGCAGGCTGGTACGATTGAACCAGGGGAAGTTTCCATGCACTGAAACCTGAAAGCATGTCAGCGACATTGAGAGAGTTATGTAGTATATCGTACCTTGTCCGCGCCCGTCCGGATCAGTCATCTTGGAAGTTCGGTCTTGTGTACTATGTTTGCAAGAGTGAACAGACAGCGCTAGCAGGGTGGGGTGGTATCGAGCAAAGGGCGAGCACTTGACTTTATATACCCCAGAGGAGTTGGAGCCTAAACCACGCAGTGAATTTTGAGAGGCCGAAAGACTTCCTGGTGCCAAGCCTGCACCGTGACCTTGGAAGTGAGGAAATTGCGCACGGCCCCAGGATAGTATGGTGTTGAGAACCTTCGGATGACGTTGAATTACAGAAAACGCTGTACATGGAACGTGGTTACGTCCATGTCAAGGTGGCCAAGAACGTGAGTTCATGTCCTTTGTTGAGCGACAATACTTGTGTCCTTTGTTTGACTACACGCCTTCCTCGGCTTTACAAGTTGCTTGGGCTTCTCAGGTCTCAGCCCGCAATGAGCATGCTAGTGCAGAATTATCAGTTGTTACTCACTCGGACAAATCGATGAATGGCGCAGGCGCAGACGTCATCCGAGCTTGCGCGTGCGAAATGGAGAGGAGCAGTCGCATCTGAGTATTAAAACCCTGCTGCGACTGCAAGAGTCATCCAATGTCCAAGAGGCAGACGACGATCTGAGGAAGGTCTCCGCTGTCACATTGTCCAAGAAGCTGACTGGAGGGCTGCAGACGGCGCTCTGCCTGGGAGGAAGTTATCGTTCGATCTTTAACGAAGCTCGGGCGCTCCGCGGAAAATTCAGAGCTCAGGGTTTGGACGCAGCTGCCCTAGCACGATTGACAAAGTTCCAGCTAAAGCTATCTTTGTTGCCTTCCACAGCCGGAGATCTACGACAAGGGCCTGCACTTGCATCTCCACGCTAACTGTCTGTCATTCAACATCCACCAACAACCGTGTTCACCTACCCTATACCATCACACCAATACATGTCAAAATGTCGCATGAACTGCCACATCCAGAGACGGCGTCTGAAAAAGCCTGCAAGCAGTGGGCGACTACGGTGATCAACCAATCACCCTTCTGCAATCAACCCAAGGTTGTTGACATAGCTCTTCAACAAGACCAAAATCAGGTTAAGGCCTTAGTCTTTTCCAGACAGCTTGCAGCTAGCATACAGCGAGCGCTTTGTCTTGGGAGAAGCTTCCGAAAATTCGAAAGCGAAGCTGAGGTTCATCGACAGCGATTTGAGACGCAGGGTCAGGATGCTGCCGGTATAGCTGAGTCCACGGACTTTCGGTTACAACTCAAGAAGAAAGAACTGGAACAAGCCGGAACTCCCAGCGACAGACAAGCGGAAGAATTGGATGATCTATGGCAACAGTTGATGCGAAGCCGAAACAACCAGGGAATCATCCTCAATAACAAATCAATGCTAGAAGACGAACTCAATGCAAAGCGAAATGCGTGGCGCGATGCTTGGCTGGTCGTTGACCGTATGCTAGATCCGGTGTTGATAGAATCGGGGTTCCTCAAGCCATATCCAGAGCAGAGGCAAGGAAATGCTGATACCAGGCGAGCAACGAAAAGACATCATGGGAATGGTAGATCCCAGATCAATGCTGCCGGTGTTGATCGTCAGAGTGATACAGCAGACCGACCGCAAAATCGGGCAAGAGTTGTGATGGACATATCTGGAAAGCAGCAGGCTGCCGAGATAGCGGAACTTCTATACAGAAAGTATCGGGATAACTTCGATGATGAGCTGGATAAGGCTAGATCAAAGAGCGGAGACAATACTGGAACAAGAGGGTCTGCATCCGTAGCAGCAGACGACGAAAATGAAGCTAAAGCTCGCGATGACTTCCGCCAGGACATTTGGATTACAAAAGCGCAAGAGCTGGGCAGGGCGTGGGAACAAAAACGGGATGACCTGAAGTCCGCGCAACTACGTGCTGTCGAATTGCTCCCGGGACTTGAGAGCAGCCTATCCATACGGTCCAGTTACTTTAATGTGACCGAGGATGGGGTGTGGAGATCCGGAGAATCAGCAAGGTTGAAGCTGATGAAAGCTTGTCAAGGCTGGCGTCAGATCGCGGCAAGCGAGGGTCTTGGGAGTGACGTAGGTCACTCTGTGACCAGCCCGAACAACATGAGGGACAGCATCTATAAATACTCGGTAAGGCCCCAGGACAGCGGTTCTCGAGGGATGATTGAGTACAGGGCAGCGCCCTACAGCAGGCGTGGTCAACGGTCTCCTCGTAACTCTGCGGAAGCGAGGAAAGCTAGACTGCCGGTCTGGCGTAGCGAGCTCAGACCCTCAGAGGTAGGCCTGTCGCCACTTGAGGGCTTTCGACGTGCCGCGATGAGACAAAAGTCTACCACGAAAGGGAAGGCACAGAGCAGCTTGCACTTGCGTCGAGAGGCGCCCCAGACCAACGTACATGATCGCGACCACCATGGCTACCGCCAGTATAGTGCCTCAGCCAGCGAGCAAAGCTCACATCGAAATCGAGCTCCTCGAACCGCATCGTATTCACGTAGGGCTGTTGAAGCATCGAGGCGGCATAGCCGTGGAAGGAGGGAGGCCGTCGGGACGGGAAGTGATCATCGGTCGAGCGATCGAGGATCCAGGCCGTACACAGGCAGCTCCAATACAGACAGTATTCGAGGACGCTCAAATGTGTCGCATGGGAAAGAACACCAGCGGGATATCAGGAAGCTTGCGGCCGCTGCAGCAAAAAAACGTTTGCGTGGAAGTCGACCTCTGGGACGCGAAAGACGGACAGCGATGGAGATATTGAGGATGAGGCCGCGGCGACCATGAAGGTGGTACTGGTTTGCGGTCAGTCGGGACGGAACGACCTACGCGTGCCGTTCGAAACGGGGCGGTGACATCATAGCAGTATCGTATTTCGACATCTCGCAAGAATGATGAGTACACTCGCGGCCTTCACATATGGTGTGCTGTCTAGGAAAAGTCGTGACGTTGCGCATTGTTGCTCAGGAGAGACCACGGAAGGGTTGAAGCGTCCACAGGCGCGCTGAAGCTTGACACGCGCCCAGCGCTAGCGCGGCGGCACGGCTGAGTCAGCAAGAGTCTTGCCTCCCTGTCCAGCACCGAAGCATCTTCATATCCTGAACGGAAGATTGCATAACCGAATGGAGCTGTTGTGAGCCTCTAGATGCAGAAAAAAAGCAACTAGCTTCGTCATTTCTCTTTCTATAGCTCATCCTTTTCTTCCTTCCACCCATCGCCCACTCCTCGCATCCATTGGACCCCAACCAACTTCAATCCCTTCTTCTCGGCCAACTGCTCTGCTCTGAAACTTCTCCTCTCAACAAACTCATCTCCTCCAACATCCGCCTTCTCTACAGTCTCGCCTGCCTTCTCCTCAAATAGAAGAAAGAGGTACCGATGTGGCCCGCTCTCATCCTTCGGTCCAGGTGCCAGATACTGCGTGATCGTCTTTCCTCTCGCGGTGATGTCTTCTGGAGAGGTGGTCGCTGATGGAGATGGAATGGAAGTAACAACCCAGTGGCGCCAGTAGCCAAACTTTGGGTCGTTTGGTGTAGGCGCATCGGGGTCGATCATCATGAATGTGAGGCTCGCGGCGGAAGATGTCGGTGGAGACGAGATGGAGATGATAGGTTGCTCTTTGACTTGGCTCACACGAGCGAGACTTCCATGTTCTGGAGCAAGTCCGGAGGAGAACTTGACGCTGAGATTCAGGGTTGGTGTGAAAGACTCTGGGATGATGGCGGAAGGGAGTAGGTTGGCGCTTTTCAGCGATTCGACGAGAGCATTGGCGGCCATTTTGGTACTTGAAACAGCCAGAAGACGAGCGTGGTGAATCGTAAGTAGATGGTTGTGGTCAATCTAAGAGTCGATGCGCTGGTATAGGTGGTTTTGTTGCGCAGCCGTGATGGTCAAGGTCTATTGGTGGATAAACCCAGCTCTCGCTTGGTTCTCCGCTTGAGGCTCCGCTCTTGCACTTGGCGACCTTATAGAGCATAGATTCGGGGTGTAATAGACGATAGCGAAGCCCGGTGACGTTGGTAAGGCCGTCTACGACCCGAAGCACGCGAACGGTTAGTTAGCTTTGTGAGCACCATGACAGGCTATTACTCAGATAGACATGTCTTGCGTTCCACTTAAGCTGGGCCTTTGAACTTCCGGCTTCAGAGCTTCTAATGAAGCTCTGAACATGCCTGGAAGCAGCCGCTCTACCTAAATGCTATGAGACAAGCACTGTGATGTCTTTCATTCTGTCATGCACGGGTTGGATGCGAAGGAAAGAACATTCAGAAGGCCGGTACGTCGGACCAGTATAGCGACTTCGTATGATACCTGGGTTGATTGAAGATGAGGAAACTTCTGCAGAAAGAAGCCAGACCCTATTGCTGATGGGTGTTGATGTACTGAGTTCGTGAGTATAGCGGGGTTCAAAGACGCGCCCTGTGCAATGCTGTGAGGCCAGCGTTCAGTATCGATAAGGAAATGCGCTAACTGGATTCAGGCCTAGTCCCGCCCCTCTTCTTGCCTTCAACGATAAGGAAACACCAACTCAGACACCTCTTCTTCTTTCCAAGGTTAGCAGCACGCGAATCAGCCCGTCTGAATTCTCTGCATGCTCTGTCAGCGAAACGAGACGGCGAAAGCGACGGTCGAGGCTGGGCCAGCGTTCATGTGAGCGTTTCTAAACTGTCTGGTTTAGCGGACACACTCCTATCCGGGTACTCGTTCGTGTTAGGATATACACCGTTGTCGACAAGGTATTGGTGAGAACCAGGGTCATGTACATCGGTGCTCTTGTTAGCTTAATTTCCGGAGAATGAAAAACTGACAAAAAACGTAGGAGTGATGATGCATCTTGATTACGAGGCGTAAAGCATCTTTTACGTTCTGTACCAACTATCAAAGACTCTTGCTCAACTGCTTAACTTTTTCTACTCTACTGTTCCTCAAAGTTTGCCCTCTCGCGCCGCAAACGACTGTTGGCACGCGAAATGCAAAATAAAAAGGTTCCATCTCTGAGGATACAACTCCTTCATCCTGTCATACAATGCCTCAGCGCTCGTTGTCCTGGCCAACTCCTTTTCAAATGTGTAAATGTACTCCCTAGTCGACTGGATCAAATATGGCGCATCTGCCTGTGAAGCTCTCTTATGTCCTGCAACAACAATATGCGGATTCTTTGCCTCAATGAGATCGATAGCATCCAGCCACTCCTTACGTTTCTCTGGCGTGTTGGCCTCGCCAAAATGCTGATGACAGTCGCCGTACACAATGTCGCCTGTGACGACAAGGTCGACTGCAGGGACGTGGAGAAAGCTGGAGAACTCATTGTCCGTGTGTCCGACTTCGACGCCATGCAGCTTCTCGCCGTCGATGAAGAATTCGCCTGAGGCAGGGAGAGCCTTCGGTATCGGCCTGGCTTGATGTATCTGATTCGGAAAAAGATTTGGCCAAACATGGTCGAAGGTCGTGTTGTACAATTCTTGGATTCCGGCTACAACGTTTTGCGTGGCGACGAATTCAAGGCCCGGGAAGTGTTCTTGCAGTACTGGCACAGCCGCGAAGTGATCGGGATGTGCGTGCGTAGTATAAACATACTTGAGCTTCTTATTCGGAGCTGTCTCGCGAATCCATTTGGCGATCTCCTCGCCTTGCTTAACGGTGATGGGGGTATCGATGAGGGCGGCTGACTCGGGTCCGTGTACAAGTACACAGCTGATGGGTGACCAAGCTGCCCTTTCGTAATCAGGAAAGCCGGTTGTAGCTGGGATAACAGGGGCAATATAGATATCGACTTGAAGCTTGGTATTACCCATCTTGTGATTTGTGTGCAGTAATCTGGGAAATATTGTGATGAAGATGTAGAATATGTCCAGCTCAATGAGACCTGGGGATCTTTATAGAGGAGCGCTTGTGTGGATCAGAGGATAATCGGTTCTGGCGACGATGTGAACTCTTGGTTGATTACATAGAATGATCAATGCAGGTGTGGGGTGCGGGGAAGCTAGAAACTAGCTTACGCCCGTACATATGCGCATCGGGGGCACGCGGACCGACCCATAGATCTGTGTACACCCTAGCTTACGCCCGTAAATGCGCGGAAGTCTAATTGCAGTACTAGGTAGACTTCCGGCTTGGCTATCGCCCCACACATTTTGTGAGTAGTAATCAAAATTTCAGATTAATTGTCCTGTCGACTTGCCGTTCGCGATTGGTCATGTGAACTTGTTTAGTCCATGTGGAGATCTAACTCCGCAAAGGCTTGTTGTGAGCTATGATGTGGATGCAACGACCAACACCCGCTATTGAGAATACATCTTGCCGCATGTACTTTCCCTGCTCTGCAACCGTGTACTCACAGGTCTCGATTCTGACATGTTTGATTCGCAATAAGTCGATTAACGGACGCTTATCAAAGAAGCCAAGCGAGAAAGTAGTTTAACTGCACGGTTGCGAGATGTACAAATCTCAAGCAGTAGACAACTCTGAGTGCGCGAAATATGTCTTTTTATTTGGTTCCTGTGAGATTGGCAGATCAGGAGATCAAGCTCAATTGTTTTCTACACGCCATTATCTGCCTACAATCCTTCAGGATATGGTACAGCACGATTCTCCTTGACCCAAACTTTCTCCTGCTCACTTCCAAACTTCGGCGGAACCAATCCATTGACCTTCCACAAACGCCGGTCCGTTTCATCCACGTGGAACTCCCAATCGTATCCCTTGTCAGCAACGTGAGGCTTCAAAGCCTGGTCGATTCGCCTGGCTGTTTTGTCCATCGCGATGTCGTCGTCTGGCAGGTTGACGGCAATGTGCTCGATGACGAATCGAATGAACGGCTTGTCCGTTTTCTGCTCCCCGCCTATCCACATATCCTGCGGACCCGTTTTGATGAAGTTGACGACAACGTAAAAAGGAGGAAGGCCTATGTCCGTATAGATCTTGGTGATGTCTTGAGTGAGAGCCTTCCTCGCGGCCGTATCCTGGAAATGGCCTTCGGGGTAGAAGACGAGCCAGAGAGGCATTGTAGAGTGTGTAGTAGGTTGTTATGGTAAAATGGTAAGAAGAGAGGTTGCGAGTTTAGTAAGTCGAGATGGATGCTTGGAAATCAATAACTGATGCGATGGACGCCACAATATAAACAATCTCCATTCCCCCGTATCAATTAACAAGCAGTCTTGAATCTTATTCCCGCATC